AAAAAATTACTATTCTCTGCTGTATCAAACTGAGGCAAAATGAGACCGAGGAACTGTTAGGAAACAGCTTTTGATTCTTGAGAACAAAGCTGCACCTTTTGCACTTTCCTCATCATCACTAATTAAACAAACGTTAGTGTGTGTGTGTGTTGCATTATGTGCAAAAAAAGAGATTACTGCAAGCATAACGTAGGAATAAATGTGCAAAATGAAGGAAATTCAGTGTTAAGCAGGAAGAAAAACAGTATTTTAATGTCCACAGATGAATTCATAACTTATCATAAACAAGATGTTTCAATACAAGACTTGGTGACACAATTAAATAAGAAAGGGAGGAGATAAGAATGTTATCTAACAATCAGCTGCACAATTTAACAACTTCTTGATCACTAATTTGCAATCAGAAATTAGTTTTTGATGGGATTCACATTACTTGTCATATCACACAGATGTTCGTGTGCCTGGTTGGAGCACATCAGCGGCTCCTCTATCCTCACTGACGGTCTTCTCAGAAGCTGTATGGACAGACACTTTGACGTAGTCGCCACCTCCATCATTCCTTCGCCCTTTGCTTGAAAGCAGTGCCTGCTCCTGTCCATCCTTGTCGGGGTTGGGGGGGGCAGTAATCTGTCTGTTCCCTTTCGCCACAGTCGACTCTGCATGTTCTGACGCAGGGCTCCCGGTCTCCCCCGTCTCCTCTACCACCGCCCGGCAGTTTAGGATGAGTGGCGGCAAAGGCACGCTGCGGGCCAGCTCCTCGATGTGACGGGCAAACTCCATAGTTTTGAACTGCGTGACCTTGGCGAGCTCCACCGTCTTGGCTGAAGTGACAATGGGGATGCTCTTGGCGACCTCGAATGCCTTCTGCAGCTTCTCTGTGCCCTCTGTCCGGAAGAACTCGTTGATGACCCTCTCCATCTCTTTGAGGTGGCTGCTGACCATGCACAGGCGGGCCACGTTGAGGATCATGGTGATGGTGAAGGCCACCAGGCACACAACGACGAAATGCAGCCCCAAGCCACTGTCAGAGTAGGCAACGCGAAGAGTCACCGTGTAGTTTTGGGTGCCGCCGCTGGCGCTCGAGGCAACGCAGGTGTAG